TGATGTGGCCCGCAATGTTATGATCACCACAGAATTAGGTTGATGTGGCCCGCAATGTTATGATCACCACATAATTAGGTTGATGTGGCCCGCAATGTTATGTTCACCACAAAATTAGGTTGATGAGGCCCGCAATGTTATGTTCACCACAGAAATAGGTTGATGTGACCCTAAATGATATGTATGGCCCTAAATGATATGTACACCCGCAATGTTATGTTCACCACAAAATTAGGTTGAGTTCTCCACAGAATTAGGTTGATGTGGCTTAAAATGTTATGTACACCACATAATTAGGTTGATGTGGCCAGCAATGTTATGCTCACCACAGAATTAGGCTGAGGCGGCCTTAAGTGTTATGTTCACCACAGAATTAGGTTGATGTGGCCTTAAATGTTATGTTCACCACAGATTTAGGTTGATGTGGCCTGCAATGTAATGTACACAACATAATTAGGTAGATGTGGCCTGCAATATATTAATGTTAATGTGTACACCACATAATTAGGTAGATGAGACCTAAAATGTACATGTACACCACATAGTTAGGTTGATGTAGCCTACAATGTTATGTACACCACAGAAGTAAAAATACATCGCATCATATGCTATGTACACCACAGAATTAGGTTGATGTGGACTTAAATATTACATGTACAACACAGAATTAGGTTGATGTGGCCTTAAATGTTATGTACAACACAGAATTAAGTTGATGTAGCCTGACATATACTCCACCTACATAATTATTATATGCTGTACACACTGTGAGCCTGTCAATCCCTATACCATCTATACACACTGTACAATAAGGCAGTGAGTCTGTCAATCCCTATACCATCTGTACACTCAGTACAATAAGTCTGTGAGCCTGTCAATCTCAATACCATCTGTACAATAAGGCTGTGAGCCTGTCAATCCCTATACCATCTGTACACTCTATACAATAAGGCTGTAAGCCTGTCAAGCCCTATACCATCTGTACACACTGCACAATAAGGCTGTGAGCCTTTCAATCCCTATACCACCTGTACACACTGCGCAATAAGGCTGTGAGCCTGTCACTCCCTATACCACCTGTACACACTGCGCAATAAGGCTGTGAGCCTGTCACTCCCTATACCACCTGTACACACTGCGCAATAAGGCTGTGAGCCTGTAAATCCTTAACCATCTGTACAAACTGTACAATAAGGCTGTGAGTCTGTCAATCCCTATTCCATCTGTACCCTCAGTACAAGAAGCCTGTGAGCCTGTCAATCCCTATTTCATCTGTACACACTATACAATAAGGCTCTGAGCCTGTCAATCCCTATCAACTGTACACTCTGTACAATAAGGCTGTGAGTCTGTCAATCCCTATTCCATCTGTACACACTATACAATAAGGCAGTGAGCCTGTCAATCCCTATATCTGTACATACTGTACAATAAGGCTGTGAGCCTATCAATCCCTATATCATCTGTACACACTGCACGATAAGGCTGTGAGCCTGTCAATTCCTATACCATCTGTACATACTGTACAATAAGGCTGTGAGCCTGTAAATCCCTATATCATCTGTACACACTGCACAATAAGTCTGTGAGCCTGTCAATCTCAATACCATCTGTACAGTAAGGCTGTGTGCCTGTCAATCCCTATACCATCTGTACACACTATACAATAAGGCAGTGAGCCTGTCAATCCCTATCATCTGTACACTCTGTACAATAAGTCTGTGGGCCTGTCAATCCCTATACCATCTGTACACTCTATACAATAAGGCTGTGAGCCTGTCAAGCCCTATACCATCTGTACACACTGCACAATAAGGCTGTGAGCCTGTCAATCCCTATACCACCTGTACACACTGCACAATAAGGCTGTGAGCCTGTCAATCCCTATACCACCTGTACATACTGTACAATAATATAAGGCAGTGAGCCTGTCAGTCCCTATACCATCTGTACACACTGTACAATAAGGCTGTGGGCCTGTCAATCCCTATACCATCTGTACACACTATACAATAAGGCTGTGAGCCTGTCAATCCCTATATCATCTGTACACACTATACAATAAGGCAGTGAGCCTGTCAATCCCTATACCATCTGTACATACTGTACAATAAGGCTGTGAGCCTGTCAATCCCTATATCATCTGTACACACTGCACAATAAGGCTGTGAGCCTGTCAATCCCTATACCACCTGTACACACTGCACAATAAGGCTGTGAGCCTGTCAATCCCTATACCACCTGTACATACTGTACAATAATATAAGGCAGTGAGCCTGTCAGTCCCTATACCATCTGTACACACTGTACAATAAGGCTGTGGGCCTGTCAATCCCTATACCATCTGTACACACTATACAATAAGGCTGTGAGCCTGTCAATCCCTATATCATCTGTACACACTATACAATAAGGCAGTGAGCCTGTCAATCCCTATACCATCTGTACATACTGTACAATAAGGCTGTGAGCCTGTCAATCCCTATATCATCTGTACACACTGCACAATAAGGCTGTGAGCCTGTCAATCCCTATACCACCTGTACACACTGCACAATAAGGCTGTGAGCCTGTCAATCCCTATACCACCTGTACATACTGTACAATAATATAAGGCAGTGAGCCTGTCAGTCCCTATACCATCTGTACACACTGTACAATAAGGCTGTGGGCCTGTCAATCCCTATACCATCTGTACACACTATACAATAAGGCTGTGAGCCTGTCAATCCCTATATCATCTGTACACACTATACAATAAGGCAGTGAGCCTGTCAATCCCTATACCATCTGTACATACTGTACAATAAGGCTGTGAGCCTGTCAATCCCTATATCATCTGTACACACTGCACAATAAGGCTGTGAGCCTGTCAATCCCTATACCACCTGTACACACTGCACAATAAGGCTGTGAGCCTGTCAATCCCTATACCACCTGTACATACTGTACAATAATATAAGGCAGTGAGCCTGTCAGTCCCTATACCATCTGTACACACTGTACAATAAGGCTGTGGGCCTGTCAATCCCTATACCATCTGTACACACTATACAATAAGGCTGTGAGCCTGTCAATCCCTATATCATCTGTACACACTATACAATAAGGCAGTGAGCCTGTCAATCCCTATACCATCTGTACATACTGTACAATAAGGCTGTGAGCCTGTCAATCCCTATATCATCTGTACACACTGCACAATAAGGCTGTGAGCCTGTCAATCCCTATACCACCTGTACACACTGCACAATAAGGCTGTGAGCCTGTCAATCCCTATACCACCTGTACATACTGTACAATAATATAAGGCAGTGAGCCTGTCAGTCCCTATACCATCTGTACACACTGTACAATAAGGCTGTGGGCCTGTCAATCCCTATACCATCTGTACACACTATACAATAAGGCTGTGAGCCTGTCAATCCCTATATCATCTGTACACACTATACAATAAGGCAGTGAGCCTGTCAATCCCTATACCATCTGTACATACTGTACAATAAGGCTGTGAGCCTGTCAATCCCTATATCATCTGTACACACTGCACAATAAGGCTGTGAGCCTGTCAATCCCTATACCACCTGTACACACTGCACAATAAGGCTGTGAGCCTGTCAATCCCTATACCACCTGTACATACTGTACAATAATATAAGGCAGTGAGCCTGTCAGTCCCTATACCATCTGTACACACTGTACAATAAGGCTGTGGGCCTGTCAATCCCTATACCATCTGTACACACTATACAATAAGGCTGTGAGCCTGTCAATCCCTATATCATCTGTACACACTATACAATAAGGCAGTGAGCCTGTCAATCCCTATACCATCTGTACATACTGTACAATAAGGCTGTGAGCCTGTCAATCCCTATATCATCTGTACACACTGCACAATAAGGCTGTGAGCCTGTCAATCCCTATACCACCTGTACACACTGCACAATAAGGCTGTGAGCCTGTCAATCCCTATACCACCTGTACATACTGTACAATAATATAAGGCAGTGAGCCTGTCAGTCCCTATACCATCTGTACACACTGTACAATAAGGCTGTGGGCCTGTCAATCCCTATACCATCTGTACACACTATACAATAAGGCTGTGAGCCTGTCAATCCCTATATCATCTGTACACACTATACAATAAGGCAGTGAGCCTGTCAATCCCTATACCATCTGTACATACTGTACAATAAGGCTGTGAGCCTATCAATCCCTATATCATCTGTACACACTGCACGATAAGGCTGTGAGCCTGTCAATCCCTATACCACCTGTACACACTGCACAATAAGGCTGTGAGCCTGTCAATCCCTATACCACCTGTACACACTGTACAATAAGGCTTTGAGCCTGTCAATCCCTATACCATCTGTACATACTGTACAATAAGGCTGTGAGCCTGTAAATCCTTAACCATCTGTACATACTGTACAATAAGGCTGTGAGCCTGTCAATCCTTATACCATCTGTACACACTGCACAATAAGGCAGTGAGCCTGTCAATCCCTATACCATCTGTACACTCTGAACAATAAGGCTGTGGGCCTGTCAATCCCTATACCATCTGTACATACTGTACAGTAAGGCTGTGTGCCTGTCAATCCCTATACCATCTGTACACACTATACAATAAGGCAGTGAGCCTGTCAATCCCTATCATCTGTACACTCTGTACAATAAGTCTGTGGGCCTGTCAATCCCTATACCATCTGTACATACTGTACAATTTTACTTCTTGCCTGTTGTCTTCAATGGGTTATCACTTTGCTCTGACGTCATGTTTCTTGCCTTTAATGTACGTACATGTCAACACAAAGTCATATGATGTCATGTCTATGTTTTCATGTCATCCTTTCTTTGCCTTGACATTTGAATATGACCTGCTCTATATATACCTCTGCTTCCTCCATTCATTCCAAAGGGACCAAACTTTATGATTGATTTGCCATTCCACATCTTATAACAAATACAGCCACAAAAATCAATTGTTTTTACATCAGTTTTATTTCATGAGATAATGGGTGAAGTTGTATTCATGCAGGCAAAAAGGAGAACATGGTGAAGTTTGTTTACTGGTGAAAACCTCTTGGTTTCAGGGCGATACCTCATCTGTTACACCAGTGTTAAATTGGAGGCGGGCTTAAGGATGTACATGTATGCTTACCTTACTCTGACATTATCTCCATTCCAAAGAGTCCCATTTCAGTAAAGGTTACTTTGGAATTGATTGATGAATGAAATGTTTATAGATTGCATGCATTGGTGATATGACACTTATTTACAGTCATTAGATAATCCTTATCAAAAATGTATCAAAAATTAATAAACTGAGATAAATTTAAACTCCTTTCCAATTAAATCACCTACAGAGTTGAGTAGAACAGTAACCTTTCATGAACCTTTCAAAGCAGTACTAGTTAAAATTAATACTGCCTGGTCAAAAAAGAATTTCATTGGGAGACTGGACAATGTCCATATGCCAGACCTACTTTGTCATTTTTTTGTATTCAGAAGGACAGTAAAAATGTGAGGTCTGGACATTGATTGGAGTGTTGGGAAATGTGTCCTGTCGTCAACCATACTGATGACTTCAGTGTCACCTGCAGAACATAATCTATCCTCAAACTTGGAAATGACAGGATATCAATGAAACAGTTCTAGTAAAAATAGTTTCACTTAATGTGAAGGACCAACATTAAATTGCTTAAACATCAACAAAGAGAGTGAATGTAACTTGAATTACTTGTACATGGAAATCATCAATTAATGTCATGTGTTGTGCTCAAGATACACTGAAAGGCAATGTCAATTGTTTGTGTGTTTATTGTGCAAAGTACATTTCACTTAATGAATGACAGATTGATGATTTTAAATATTTGATGTATATCTGAGGGTAGTCAACAAGATTTATGGAACAGGTAATGTAAAAGGGAAACATTTTTGTGTCATCATATTTGTCATTAAATGCTCAAAATGATTCCCGTCATCAACAATAAACAAAGAAAACATTGACCTTGCCTTAAAAGAATTTACTCTGATTTGTCTATAGGTAGTTATAACACTGCCTAATCAATCATGTCCTGACCAGGATTAGATACAAGTTCTTGGTGTTCCTCTATTGTACTAGGTTCAGTATTCAATTCAAACATTCTAGGCGAGTTCTCTCTCGTTTCTTGATCTTCTTGACTATTTCTACTCTCTAAACCCTCGTCTTCCTCTTCCACTTCACCGTCGTGATCCTCTAAATCAATACTAATCTGATATGATCCTGTTGTACCACGATTGGAACGTGGAAGAGAGTTACGTGGATCGCTCATTCCCAGGTGACATGGATCATTCACCATTCGAGTTGATCCATGAACGGTTCGACTGGCTGTAGTACTGGTCAGGACTGATGGATCGCGGTTCATCCAGCCGGCCAGATTGGCGAGGCTGTACTGTCTGTATCGGTCACAGTAGATATATTTGGCAAGGAGGTTCACGTGTCGATCAAAGCATATGTATAACATGGGTTGTATCGTCCCCTGACTCCAGGCAATGAAACTGAAAGCCTGGTAAACCTTTGGCGACACAGTGAAATGGACATCCACAAGCATTAACAGGAATAACGGATACCAACACAGGATGAAAGTTATTGTACTCAAGATGAACAGCTTCGCACGATGACTGGATTCATTGACCATTGTCTGGACATTACAAACGGATGTCACCGGGTCATCCATAATCGTGATCGATGACCGAACCAACATAGAGACGCGATTTGTGTGATTAACCTGTATTTCCTTGTAGAGTTTACATATAAAATGTACAATACCCAGCAGAGCTAAGGTCAGTATACCGATCCACATGAGATTGGCCACATATCCGGTTTGTTCACCCAGAATGAAAGAGCAGCTACCAATCTCCGGATGGAAATCAAAATATCCGCCAATAAGCGTTGGTCCCAGATGAAGGATAACACTGGCTATGTAGACTAGAAGGGTTCCAAACACGACACAACACAATGATCCCTTGGAATTTCCACCAATATTAACCTCTCCGAATGTATATGCTTCGGTACACACCATTGCTAACATATTAAACACAGAAGCTGTGATAATCAAAACATAGGTGGCGCCGAAAAAATCACAGTCGCTTGGTTTTCGTTGTGTAACAAGATTATTGGCAATAGGAATGCAGTATGCAGCCTTGAGGAAATCGAGGAACGATGCATGTATAAGGAAAGCACTGGTCAGCTTTCTCATGGATTGTCGCACAAACACGAAAATCACAACCAGTAGGTTCAAAAGTAGTCCCAACACGGCTACGAAGTACAGATAATATGCCTCCTGGTGGTAGGTTTTTTTGACGTAGCTAGAGTGATCCATGATGTTGTCTTGGTGAGGTTTAAGTGCGATTCGGTGAGCGTACACTGGAAAGGGTTCATCTTGGTTTGTGTATCCTTTTTGGAGGATATTCAAGAATTGAATGTTTCTCTCGGGAGGTTCAATGTTAGCCATCTTGGGAAACTGACAGAGTCAAGGTTCTCCAGTCTGACCTCTTTGACCTCCAGGGTTAGAATTGAAACCTTCATACTAAGGAATGATCAGCACCTGAAAAAACAAAATGTTAAAATTGCGTGAATATTGAGTCATTTCAGTCATATTTCACAGATATAATTTAAACAGTTGTGCATCAATTGACCTACAATATTTGCATTGCTATTGGGTGCCAAGGGCAGTCAAAAGTACATTTTTGGAACAAGAAAGCGATAAATGTTTGTTTAAAATCCTTCACATATTCATTGAAGTTCCCTCTACCACTAACGTTTAATGCTCTTTTCCTATTAACTAGATACTGTAAAAAACGTTAAGTAAATTAGTCCAAAAATATCGACACCGTGATCCGTATAAAGATGCGGTGCTGGGTGCCTTCGGCATGGTATTTCAGTGAGATAGCACTATAAAGTCGGCATCAGATCCAGGCTATCACAAGGAGGCAAGCACAACAAGATACCCTGTCTCCTGCATACACACACGTAAGAACGCACACACTACACACATTGAGGAACCTCCTTAAATTACCTTATCTGTTAATAGGGCATTAAACAAAATTAAACCAATCATCGTAAGTACGTAGTACCTTAGTTTTTGTGTGCGGTGGAAGCATCCACCGGTAAAAGTGGGTGTTAGCAAGAAACGCAAGCTGTGACATCAGAAAGAGACAAATGTCAATATTACCACAGTATTATTATAATACGCAATCACTCTTTATATACAATGTTTTCTGTAAAACATCACAATCATTATTTTTCCATAATATTTAAATTCTGTATCCTTGGACCCATTGGCCAAAATGACAATCACATTTGCATAACACAGTCCTAGGTGACCTCATCATTCTAATGCAATTATGGAATATGTCCAAAAAGCCAATGTTGTTATGACCTCATGAATGTTGAAAAAATAAATTTCATTCCTTAAGTAATATTCAATGTGCTTCCTGAAAACATGAACTTAATGTATATATACAGGTAACTAGGGTAGCAGTTTACAGTAGAGGGTTGTGGCCATGGGTGATATTTTTGTTAAATGGCTATAACCCCTGTATAATGATATGTAAAAAAATAAAAAAATAAAACTGTACTAAAATTGGTATAAGCATGATGAAGTGGGCTATGTGAGCTTCACATTTGTAAAATTTTGGCCATAATCCGAAAGGGTGCACGTGCCTACACGTGAAAAGCTAGCTTTACAGGAGGTAAAATTTTGACAACAGCACAAGACGCAAAATTGCAAAAAACCAAGTTTTACAACTTTACTGGGACCCAGATTATTCTGCAACCAAGTAGGTAATCTTTAATTTCAGACAGAACTTAGGAAAAAAAAAATTAGTTGCGGGGGTCAAATTTCGGGTCAAAAATAGCAATTTTTGGCATTTTTTGGTAATTTTTGATGTGGTAACCATGGTTTTCACACAAGTGAGATACATAGAAAAAAGAGGTTTATACACTTCTCAGTACTTAATATGTACTGTAAATGTAATGCAGTTTACAAATATATATACATGTATATATGTGTTGTGTATAGGGTAAATCCGCTGTGTTTACATTTCCCCGACATGCGTCTTGTTTTTCAGAGTTGGGCCATTTCTACTGTAGACTGCTATCTAGTGAGCGGCAGTCAACACTACATCAAGGATGGAATGCCAATGTCAAATTAACGTCATATAGCATAAAATTGGGTGCAAAAATGTTCACAACCAATTCTTGTTGCGATATGATAGTTTGAGCAGTGGATAACAGCAGATGAGATTCAGCCGAAAAAATGTTCTGGCTACTTGGACAATATAACACATTTTATTTTATCATGTATACTTTTCCATGATATGGTTGTTTTGCATGTGTGATGCAGCTGTCTCTGTACGTGCACAGGCCATATCTTGGACCAACCCATATTTGTCCGTTACGCGCCATATCTGCCCGTCACGCGCCATATCCATTTAGCTTCTGGTTCAACACTTAATTAACTAAAAATCACACTTCAAACCAGTATTGTATCAGGCTAATATATAGGTGTACTTAACACCAACATAAAGGCTTTTTCTTGTCAAGCAGTTCTGATTGACATGGGGTCATGATGTCAACCATAATCTTGATGATGGGAAAGAATAGTTCAAACCATAGTAATTCTAAAAATTGTCATTCATTCAGAGTAACTCTGTAAATATATAGTCTCTGCGGCATCCTCAGAAACAACCAGAAATATGTGTGTAGGTGTATTATTGCTGGGTAAAAACTACATAGGCAAAACCATTATCATGGCAGTTAACTTTTTATACAGGTGAAGGAAATTTCTGGAATGTCTTAAGTGTTTTTACCGAGGGCTGATCAACACCTGTTGAAGGCGTACATGCCAGCAGGTGAAAATATTACATCTAATTAGCAATACCATCTATACCTTCCATGATAGATGTTTGCATGAGGCGTTAACTGTTCAATATGTTGTACATTTGTATACTGTGGATTAGCTTCTCATATATATTTTCATAAATATTTTGATTTAATTTAATTTTAATTTATGAACTCCTACCTCAATTTTTTTGGAAAGTTTTCTCAGAAATTTTAGCTCAGAACTATGCTACTATGATAGGTGCCTTATGTATGTGTCACTATATATAAAGTATATTTTCATATGTATTCATCCTATAGGGTTTATTTGCTGAATTTACACTTCATTTTTACAAGGTTTTTTTTAGAGTTATCTCCCTTAAAACGGTAGCATAAAACTGTATGAAACCTATCTTTTTAAAGACAACTGCCCTAATGATGTCATCCCTGAAAAGTTGATGTCTATTTTTTGTACTACTACTTACAAAGCTGTGCTTATGCAGTTGTTGTAAATTAATATTACTAATCTCATCTCAGCTTTATATGACTGTATTAGATTGACTCCAATAAAATATGGTGACAAATTGACATGTTACGGTACTGTCAGAGGTGTTTGGTACTACGATTTGAAGTTGGATTATGGTCCTTCCACTTAAACAGAATGTATAATTTCCTCATAATTAACCAACTATGTGATACAATTTCACAGGAATATCTGTGCTTTCATATCAATTCACAGCTCCATTGATTAAGAAAATTATTTGAAAATAATTGATCTGTAGAATGAACTGAAAAATTTTCATCTGTAGAATGAACTGAAAAATTTTCATCTGTAGAATGAACTAATTCAGAAGGATTTGAATGATATGAATGTGTTACATAATTATTTATGTGTAACTTGCAACCATATTACTGTTTATGAAAATAGTCAGGTTCCTAACCATGGAACCCTGTCATTTTGACAAGAGATATATACATACCACAGTCATTCAGTGTACACGATACATGTCGATCACCTGTAATTCAGTTTCGCTTTTGAATTAGTAGGAGTTGTTTTAATGGGTACAGATGCATGGAGATGCAAACACTCTAGAACTCAATGTCAACCAGCGTAGAAGTCAAGGATGTTAATACTGAAAATACAATCATTGTATAATGAAGACACCCCCCC